AGACAAAACTAGGCTCAGGTACTGACTGGGTATCTCAGGAAAACACTCAGGAGCCTGGAAAGGAGGCTGTGTCTGTTGGTTCCAAGATGGTGACAGGGAGTCTCCATCCCTGAGATTAAGAAGTTGGGGTTGGGACCAGCAGATGGCATTATGGTGACATTGATGGAGGAGAAGACATTGCAGTATAACCATCTCCCTGGTGGGGAGATTTCTCACTTTCCTTCTCACTATCCATCTCTGTCTCTCTGTCTCTCCTCTCTGTCTCCCCCTGCCCTCCCACCAAGGCAAAAAAAAAAAAAAAAAGAAAAGAAAAAACAGTCGTTAAAAACCAACCAACCAATGGTTCATCGGCATGACAGTGTTTATGTTTAAGGAGAACGTGAAGGGGTCTGGGAACACTTGGGGGCATACTCACTCCCAGGGAGTCAAGGAAGTGAGTGGAGGAAGGAGTAGCTGCCCAAGGGATCAGAAGAGAATCGGACAAGAGCAGTCTCAGACACTGGCTTCTTTCTCAGTCTCCATGGAGCACACACTCTGGTGTGTCTGGTTTCCATATTGGCTCCTCCCACTGTCATATATATCTTTCTTCTCAGGTTAGACCCATAGCAGACATCCAGGAACTGGGCTTAGGATGAATGAATTCATACAGCCAAAGACAGGGCAGGTGTTACATACAATGGCAGATGCTCTTGGCAAGAGGTTGAAGAAGATAAGGATGGAGAGTGGTCTCCAAATAGCATGACCAGGAGGTTGTCACTGGTGGTCTTCTATGAGCAAAAAATTTTGAGCCCAGGACTCAAATCACTGAAGACTGGTCATTTCAGGACCAGCTGTTGGCGTCATGGCTATGTCGCTGGACTCTCATGTAGTCAACTACAATTCGAGTCCTGGACCTGGTGGCTTAAACTCATGCCAGGTGTGTGCACGTGTGTGCCCAAGATCCTGAGAGGAGAATGGAGAAGGGATTGCGGCGTGGCCATCCCCCCTTGTGTGTGGGGGGTGATTTTTCACTTTCTGTCTCTCTCTCTGTTTTTTTGTTGG